AGCCTCGAACATATTACATAGGCGTAAGGTTGCAAGCCTTTCGGTTTTCTACCACATACATTTCGGTGAGTGGGAAGCGGGGGAATTGCACAACTTGATTCTCCCTAGTCCTTTCCATCATCGTACCACATGACAATCGGTGAAGCGTCACCGATTCATGGTAGATGTTCCGCCCACACGCACGAAGCGCTTCGCTTCAAGCTTCCTTGTGCGTACTGCTAAAGAGTGGAATTCAATGCCAGAGTCTGTATTTTCTGAAGGGTATAACCTGGGAGTCTTCAAGGCTCGAGTGAATAGGTTGCTTATGGGACGACGTGCTCCATCGTAGACCGCATCATTGCTTACCATCAGGCGAGTTAGTGGTCAAACGTCGCCCCATCAAATATATATATATATAAAAAAAATATACCACATACGGTACCTCAACCAGCTGTTAACAACAATGCTAGTGTGTTCACTGATCCGATAGGAGCAGGTATTGTGGCAATTGTTTCTAACTAGCTAGTTTCGCGCGGTTTTTTCCGCTCTGCTCGACTTCTATTCACGTAGCGTGATGTTTTATACCCTATTATAGCTTTCCTTGATAAACATGGTATTCAATACAAAAATATTTTTTCAAATCGGACTAGTAGTTCTGGAGATTGGCGTGTTTAAACAAACCCTTAATTAACTAAAAATCTCGGGTTACTCTCGTGAATATACTGAGAAAAGCTCATGAGCAGCGTGCGCGGTTGTGGCGTTATTGCGCAGCCTACTCCTAAGTACTAGTAGAGCTTTAACTTGTGTGTTAAGTGTATTTATATATATATGTATATATACACACAGATAATTTAGGATTAAGTCTAATAACTACTTTTAGAGTCACTTTTTTATCGTTTCAAACGATAACGCGGTGATTTCCAGTGACATTAAATGAAAATCTGCGGACGGCGAACACTACTACCACCGTCAGGTGTCTTCAAGGTCCAAGTGAAAAGGTTGCTTATGGGCAGGCGTAGGCGTGCTCCGCAGGTATCATCGCTTACTACCAGGCGAAATAGTGGCCAAACGTCCGAGCCGATCGCGATAAGCTTACAAGGCTCTTTTTATGGGACAAGCCCGCCACAACCTCCGAAAAACGCTACAACTCCTGTAAGCCAGGATCTACAGTAGATACAATCATGAAAACACCGGAACACTGAAGTCCGGCGCGTCCCAGGGACATGAGTAACTGTCTTGGTTCCCGCAACGAAGTGAATCAAAAGATATTATAAGAGGAGAAGAAAAAACGATAGTTTCCATTTCCCTCGGTGAATTACTGCAGAAGACAGAATGAATTAAGTATAAAGGCGGAATAAAAGACTGTACAATTAGGTGAAGCCCAGTCGCCAAGCACCACGGAAATTGACTAAAAACTAAGTGCTAGCTAACTAAGCTTATAAGGGTGATAAGTGACCATGAGTTGGAATGGGGTGGTTTTAGTCAGTAGAGTCTGACACTCCCTATCGCCTTACCTAAAGCGGAACGAGTAATGTGATGATGACATTTAACCTCTTATTTGCTACTTATTAATAGCATACCCCCAGAAATAAAAAATAATATTTCGCAAAAGAACATAAAATGTAAACTAAAGCAATATTACATAAGTGTTATTTAGGAATGTGTTTGTTTATCCTCGGTTGTTTATATTATTGTCATTAACGTATATATTTGTAAAACCTCATTTTATAAAAAATCGACTTTGAGATTGATTTATGATAGCACAAGTTTAAACCTTAGTGGATTTTGGTTGCTATTTTAAATGGATAATCCTGTACTTATTGTAAATACGATAAATAAATAATAAAAAAATATATATATATATGTTACTGTAAAAGCTCGAACTACTGTAAATCTTAAGATTTAAGTGTAAGTCTTAGGATTTACCGACATGAGTTGGTAAATGTAAGTATTTCTGAAGATACGACGATTTTTTCGAGCTTTTGCCATTCGAACTCAGTATATGCTAGGTTTTACCACTGTCAGCTGGTAGATGTTGGTTTTAGGAATAAAACAATGAGTAATTCTTAATTAATTACTTTTAACTATTAGCCAAAACAGGTACATAGTATTATAAAGATATCATAATGATAGTAACAAGTACAAACTAAACACTTAGCGTATTTGTCCTTATCGAGAAAAAGTTATTATCTTTCTTGTTTGCCACAAGTTCGTCCATTATTTCATAAAATCTTTGCTTCATACTCATTTTTATTCACAAATAACTTTAAAACACCAAAAATATAATTAGAAATCTAATTTCTAATTTGACACGTTTGAAGTGATCTAAGAACGAAAGAAGCGTGCAGGAGAAGGAACGGGGTGGTTTTTAGTCAGTAAGAGTCTGACTCTCCCTCCCGCCTCACCCAGGCGGGTGCAGTCATTAGATGATTTCCCCCCCTTATAAAAAGACCGTGCGCGGGTAGCGTGCGTGCGGTGCGTAGGTAGTAAATCCTAAGATTTACCAACGGAATGGTGGTAAAAGTTCGAATCGCGAATCATTCTGGACATTTACCATTAGGAATTGGTAGATCTTAGGTTTTACTGGAATATCTTAGGATTTACTGCAGTTCGAGCTTTTACAGTAACATATATCCTCCTGAAGTCCTTACTCGTTCTCATCTTAAATCCTATCTTAAAATTGTGCCCCATAATACCGACTTCTACTCCTACTCCTTCTCCGTTCATACAGTGAGACTATGGAACTCGCTCCCGCCGAACATTCGGGACGCCAAGTCTATCTCTATCTTTAAGAAACAAGTGAGAGAACATTATCTTTCCTCTTGAAATATAGATTTGTTTTTCTGTATTTATTTATATATTTATGTATTATAATTGTATTATATTAATTTGTTTTATTGTTTATTATTGTTAATTCTATTGGTTTCTTCGGTCTTATTACTTTTTTTTTATTAATTGATTTTTATCTTGTTTGTGTAACACACTATGTGTCTCTGTATTGTTATTTCTTTTCCTGCTACAGGCCCATAGGAAGAAATTCCAGTTGGAATATGTGGGGCCTATGTACTCTGTTTTTTATTATGTATTATCCTCTGTGTTGAATGTGTGTACATAAATTAATTAATAAATAAATAAATAAATATATAACCAACCAGTACCACGAACAATTGCCATAAATACTGGTCACACCATGCCACCCAGGAAGGCCTATTAGGTTCTCTTAATCAATAACGTCCAAGTGTGATCTGTCAGCACTTGTTTCTCCAAATCACTAACGTCAAGTGTAATCTGTCAGCAACTGTTTCTCATAATCAGTTAACGATAAAGTAATCTGTCACAAACTACTTCCGTTGCTAGCCCACTGTGAGGTCTAGACACGGACACACAAATACACACACATACAAACATTTCTCTAGTATTTAAGATTATGTAACATAGATTTAAGCGTTCATTATCTAACAACGCTCATGCTGAGCATACCTGTGTACTATATTTAATTAAATAAATATTTTTTTTTATTAAAAGTCTTGCGCGGTCATATTTGATATAGACTGCCTCGTTGGCCGAGTGGTCGCAAGTGCAACTGCCGGGCAAGGGGTCTCGGGTTCGATTCCCGGGTCAGGAAAAGTATTACTGGGTATTTAAAAATCTCAGTAGTAGCACGGAGTCTGGAATTGTCCCCGGTATATGGCAATAGGCTCACCCCCTATTACATGGGACTCATAACATAAATAGTGAAAAGTTGGTGTTACATTGTACAGTGGCATTAAGTGCCGTAATGTGCACCTCTGCCTACCCCTTCGAGGATAAAAAGGCGTGATGTTATGTTATGTAGAAAACACATTGTGTCTCGCGTATGTCTACGCTCCCGGCATACCAGGGGTTAAACAACGGGAATTGCTCGTATGCATTATCAGCTCATTTTTGGTCACTGTTGGACATAGACCTGTCCAATAGCACGCCTCTGACCTCAATCTCATTGGTTGAGTTGCATGAGTATCATGGAATGAAATAAAATAAAACCCGTTATATTATACAATTTCTTTATTTATTAATATGCTCCTAATATAATGTTCAATCCGCCATGGTCCGAATCAATTTACAAAATTGCTTTACATGTTAAATTAGGTCCTATTACTGTCGCTGTAAAGTTTATTTTATCTAATAGAACGTTAGTGTCAAGACAACAGCGATTGTCGCGCCACTATTGTGCGACTGTGGCGCAGCTGCGGCGCGCTTGTTGAAATATTTGTGCCTCCAAGTCTTGTGCTAACGTAAAGCTCTATTTTGTTCTAAATTCTAATTTTAAATATTTCTACCATTTAAATAAGGAAGCAATACAAACATTGACAACATAGTTTACAACATAAACATTTAGTACCATTTCATATTTTATATAAATACTTACACATTTTTACACATTTATCTACTGTTTTATTAATTTAATCAATAAAATATTATTTTTTTATATAAATTTTACAAATACTTTATAAATCGTTCATTTACATATACTAAAAATAAATTATATATTTAATAAAAGCACATTCAGAACTAAATTATTGTTTTTATTTATTTTATTTTTCGTTTTATGATATTTACAAAACATATAATTATATTTTACTGTATATTGATACTTTTCCGAAATGGGGGCTCGCCATTTGAAGGCTGTGGGATTAGCTAATCAACTTTAAAAATATTTATTTAACATTTAACAAATTATATGTATTTCTTATTTAATGATCAGGTAACCTCACAGCCACGAAAAAGTACCCAAAAATTATACATTAATAAAATTTATACAATAAACAAAATGTAAATGCAAATTATACAACACTAATTCTACATATTATTACACAATTTCTAATTCTGTATAAACACTAATCTTACAAACGTCGGTTTTTTATAAATGTTATACATTTAGTAGAAAATCGTCGCTTTTTGTATACAATTACAATTAAATTATGCAAAAATGTATTCTAAACTTGTACACAAACTAAACATCGAGAAGAAATGAAAAAATACACCTTTAGGTACCATTACCATAAGAAGGTAAATTCTTCGAAATATTTTACGTTCAGAAAATAAATTGTGCATTGATATGTCCCTAGTACTAGATACATAGACAGTTAAAAGTAATCGAAAACCTTACTCTATCATAAGAATATTTACAAGAATGCCGTGATTTACAGCACGGTTTCATTTGTGCATGTCCTGGGACCGTTGACCAGGGAGTATCTACTAGAGCCGCCATTCTTACGGCTAGTCACAGCTCCTCGAATGAACAGTTCTTTAAACGTCTCCCTAAACTGCCTAGACATACCACAGTAAATAGCAAAATTAATAGGATAAGAGACCAAGATAAAGAAATTGGTTATAAGAATCAAAATGTTCGCTATATAGTAATCTAAAATTTCGACTATAGTGCTTGAAATTATGTGCAGAATAGTGACGACTGCCACGGGAATTTCGACTAAAAGGAAGACGGTAACAACGACAATAAGCATCAGAGTTGTGCAATTGGAGTCTCTAAGTTTTCTGCACTCGGATTTTCTATTTTCCTTAAAGAGTCTCTGTCTGTTGATCTGGGCAGTTCTCATAGCTCTGAAGAGGAGGACGTTGAGGACCACCAGAGAGGTGCAAGGTATGAGGTGCACGAAGAGGACTCGGAAACCGTAGTATGTTATGAAGTAGGCGTCCAGAGATATTGCTTGCACCCACGGAGCCATTTCGATCTGTAAAAAAAATAAAAAAATTGTGTATGACTTTATATTGATTATATGATTCTTGAGTTATTCCACTCATCTATTTCTTTTTCGAATCATGAACCCATGTATTCTCACAATCTTTCGCATAATTATATTAGTAGAATTCAAAATTTTATGTCTCTCAACACAACAGTGGAAAATATTGTATAGTTTTTACAAAAAAATAATAATAATAACGTTGGAAGTTCTAAATAGTTTTTTCCTGTAGTGGATAAAGTGTGGGCCTAGATATAAAGGAGACAGTTGACGGACATGTTCACAGCTGTCCTCAACCTTGGATACGTGGCTGGAATAATATGTGAATATATTTATTATTCTTTTTAGAAGACCTAAGAGAAAAATTACTTGAGGTAAAAATAGGAATGATGGCAGGGTATGAAAATTCAATATCTAATTGGTCCGTCCGTTGGGTAATAAAAATATTTGAGTTTAAATCTCCTAAAATCTACTTACTCTGCAAACTTCTTCAAAATGTCCTCGCCAGACTGTGATCTGTGGCACGTACCGACGGTCGAAGAACCTGGGCAGCTGGTGAAGAAAGGCGGCCACGCCAATATACACCAAACACTTCATCACACGGGGCATTGTACACCTGCGGAGGTCAAGGTATAATGGTTATTTGTGGTGAACAATATTATGGATACAGTGATAATATTTTTAGCTTGGACGTGAGAAAGAAACCTGGTTTCATGAATAGGTTTATGTAACTAGTTCAAGTGTATATAACTTACACTTCATAGTTATGAGCACTACAATTGTGTCGTGAGACGTACTAAATTATTTATTATGTTTTTCAGCTTCCTCACGTAACTGTTTGACGAGGAACTCGACTAGTTTCAAGCCATGCTAGAGGCTCATATTCAGAATGACTTGAAACTAATTGAGTTCCACGTCAAATAGTCAAATGCCGGAATACTGAAACGTTACTCAATTTTTAGTCGTGCTTAAATATTGTGCCATCTCTGTCATTTTACAAAGAATTTGTGGAGACAGAACTATACTTAAGCGCGACTTAAAATTGAGTAGCGTTTCAGTATTCCGACAAAAGGCTTTCAAACTTTTAGATCAGAAAATAATTAAATAGATAAATTGGAACCAGTTAACTTTTGAACTTGGTTTAAACACAAGTTGGTAAGACTAATCGCATTATTATTTTCCCAGCCTACGTCGGAGAAATTCATAAGAAACAAATCGATATAGTTGGTCCTGTGTGGGTGTATTAAAATTGATCAGCCTACATTTCAGCCCACCTATCTATGGAGAATGGAGAAGAAAGTCGTAAAGATATCAAAAAGGTCTCATTTCAATTTATAAAAATTTTAGAGATCTATGCGTTATTTGTCTGTTGGCATGTTCATTTGTTTGTAACGTTGTTCTTAAATGCTATCGTAATTGACTTAGCTGCTAAATAAATAACAGTATAGATAGACAGAATATTATGTTTTAGTCATCATTAGCTTGAAAACATTGACTACTGAACAAAACTTGTATAATAATAAAAATAAAAGTTGTAAAAGTCAGTAGGCTGCGCGACACCGCCGCGACCGCGCACGCTGCTCATGAGGAAGAACCCCTCTGTGGTTCGAAACTAGTAGAGCTTTTCTCAGTAAATTCACGTGAGTTACCCGCGATTTTTAGTTAATTTTGATTAAAAGTTTCCTACTAAAAAGGGTCTTTGCCATCCCCTCATTTGGCACGCAGATCGAGAAAGAGAGATCGCAATTAAGTAACCATAAGTTTAAATGACGCTTTAGTTTTAGGTTATGCTAAAACTGCAAAGGGCCATTGAAGGAATGGTATTTTAAATGTGGGAGAGCCATGCTTCGGCACAAATGGGCCGACTCGACCGGAGTGATACCACGGTCTCACAGAAAACCGACGTGAAGCAACGCTTGCGTTGTGTGAGCGACGTTACTGTAGGCCCTATCACTCAATACTCGAATCCAAAACAATCCTCAAATTCCTAATCCCCAAAAGGCCGGTCACGCACGTAACAACCTTGGTGTTTCAGGTGTTCGATTGGTTACCATCAAGTGTACCGTAAGCTCGTTTACCGCCTTACTCCATTAAAAAAAAAACTCGCTTTAAATAATATGACGTGTACGGAACCTTTAACAAAATAGAACGACTTACAATCTTCCGATTTATAATATCGATTATCAGAAATCCCACAAACGTAGTAATAATCGAGATCGCGTGGGTTTATTGTCCTGCCTACGATCTAACGTAGAATTATTCAATACTAAAGGTCATTAAGGTCAAAAAATTATTATTTTCGATGGCTCGACCGGAGTGATACCACGGCCTCTCAGAAAACAGACGTGAAACATCGCTTGCGTTGTGTTTCGTCATGTGAGGGCAGTTACTGGAGGCCCAATTACCCCCTTCTCCAGTCTCCCCAATCCCCGAATCCCCCACAATCCTCAAATTCCTAATTCCCAAAAGACCGATAACACATTCGTGTTTCGGGTGTCCATGGGCGACGCCGATTGCTTACCATCACGTGATCCGTCTGCCCGTTTACCGGCTTATCTCATAAAAAAAATATCATCCAACTTGACCTCAAAAAGTTGCCAACTTTTCCAAGTAATTCCTCGGTAACGTGTACATTTTGCCAATATTCCATGATGACCAATAAACAGCCGGTACACCACTCAACCGTGCCTCTATTTGACCATATTTTATGGGTCATAAAACTCTTCGGCGTCTGTCAGCAATTTCTTCGATTTACGTCACTTTTTTATTGGTTAACTTAATGAGTTTATTGGTAGAAATATTTGTTGTTTATTATATTATACGGGCATAGTGTATTGAACAAATTTTCCGTTTGTAACATGTGAAATAAAGTGATGGAAAGGGTCCGAGTTTAGCAATTTTAAGCCTAGCAGTCAATAGGGTAGATGTCTAATTTTTATTTTAATGTCCGTCTGGTAGATTATTTGAAATCATTAGACACGTATTTTTAATTTTCTTTCAGAAACGAATACTTTCGACGATATATTGATTTGAAACGTCGCGTGACGTCACTTCTATTTACATTTTATAAGTAGAAATGACGTTTTAGCCTCTACTACTATTTGATTAGTTTTATCTAAGTATGGACTAATTAGATTTGTAATTTTCATACCCTGTCATAAAACCAAACCAATATAAAAATAGGTATGAATATAATGTTATTACGAAAAAGAGATCCGTGTTTAATATATATAAAAGGTATGTTAGAAGTTACCTATTTGATATACGAGCCTGATAAAGTACACAGGGTGTAAACGGTACGCTTTTAGTCAGTTACCTACGGCCAATTTCGTTTTGAGTTGTAAACATTAATATGGACTAATGTTAAATTTCTAAAAACTTGACGGCACGATTGGTGCGGTGGCTGGACAACTGGCTGCCGCGCAACGTGACGCGGTATCGACTCCCGCATGGAACAACTATGTACCTAATTGTGTGATCCACAGATTATTGTTCTGGGTCTGGGTGTCATGTGTTAGTGAACTTGTATGTTTGTAAACGCAACCACGACACAGGAAAAAATCCTAGTGTTGTTTTTTTCAAGGGGGAAAATCATCGAATGACTGCTCCCGCCTGGGTGAGGCGGGAGGGAATGTCAGACTCTTACTGACTAAAAACCACCCCGTTCCTTCTCCTGCACGTCGGGGCAACGTTTTTAAATAAAAAAAAAACAGCTTTAAATAAATAACAACCACATTCGCATAAGGTACTAACTCCAAAAAAGGAAATTAAGTATCACGACAGCATTTTTATTCCATTCAACTTCAAGTGACCCTACATGATGTGAAAATTCCTAAACAAAAGCAAATCAACGTATACTAAATTGCCAAATTTTTGCTCCCAACTTTTAACTGTACCATTAAGGTTTAAGGTCGAAACTCCTGTGAGGAATGGTGTATATTGATGTGCTGGTACATATCTTTAGGTAGCTAGTATAATCAGTTATTCATTTGACAAGGGTAGAGGAGAAGGTGCCGGGTATGACGGAGGGTAGGCAGAATTCAAAAGTATGTTAAGGACAGGTAGGACCGAAGTAAGTGTACTTATATCCTTTTGAAAATATCTTAACAAATGGTACTGTGTACATAATATAAGTAGGTTGGTTTGGTATAAAATTATTGTAAGGGATGATCTGTGTATTTTGTGTCATATTTGGTTTTGTTTTGTGTATGGGTATGTATTGTGTAGACTGCCTCGTTGGCCGAGTGATTGTAAGTGCGACTGCCGGGCGCCGGGGTCTCAGGTTCGATTCCCGAGTCGAGCAAAGTATGAGTGGGCTTTAAAGAAAATCTCAGTAGTAGCACGGAGTCTGGAATTATGATAGCGATTTTGCTCGTTTGCCAGGTTATCCCTTAAGAGATTAGCCAGTATAAACAGACAAACAAAAATTGTAAAAAGTGTTATTTTGGTATGTGTATCGTATGTATATTCATGCATGCATATGCATGTAGTAAAAAGCGCTTATTTCAATATTACAAACAGACACTCCAATTTCATTTATATGTATGTATATATTTACTAAATGTTTAGTCATGTAACATATAGTCTACTTTGACTACTCAATGACTTTAATGTTTCTATTGTGTCACCAATTCATCATCAGCCTATAAGTGCCCACTGCTGAGCAAAAGTATCTTCTAATATGGAGAAAAAAATTCTAAACTTTAATTAGAAATTATAAGGTATGGGTGCTTACTCTTGAAACCCAATTATAATCCAATAAAACCTCAATAATTATTCAATGTCAAAAATATACAACTTCTGTCGTAGAGCTGTTAAACGGCTGGACCGATTTTGATGGAAATTTTATTGGCTAGCTAATATACATAGTAAGGAGTAACATAGGCTACTTTTTCTTTAGAAAAACGTAATTGGAAATTAGATATTTACTGAACTAGCAATAGGGTAGACGACTAATTTTTATTTTAATGTCCGTCTGGTAGATTATTTAAAAACATTAGACACGTATTTTTTATTTTCTTACGGAAACGAATAGTTTCGAAGATATATTGATTTGAAATGTCGCGTGACGTCACTTCTCAGTACATTTTATACTAAGGAATGACGTTTTAGCCCCCACTCCTAAACTTTGATTCGTTTTATCTAAGTATTGTTTTATTATACGACAAAATAAAAAAATACGTGTCCTATATTTTTTCATTACCTAACTTACGGACTAATTATATTTTTAATTTTCATACCCTGTCATCATCCCCATTATCTACCAGCTCTCGAACATAAGCATTCACTTAAATGGAAAGGAAACTATTATAAGAGGTTGAGCTAAAACATAATACTCGTTAAATTGTCACAGTTTAAAAAAAACACTTATATTATAACAGTACAAACGAATACTTAAAAGTCAAAGATGTCCATGATACTACACAAATCCTTATTAATAAAGATTAGTAAAGTGAGTCATTGTATCTTTATCTTTTCCTGTTAACGTTTGTAAAAAGATTTAACGAAAATATAATTTCGCGCCGTCCACAAAGGAATGAATTATTACATGAATGAAGCGCCTAAAAAGCTATTTAAATAGAGTTTAGTCTATAAGAGATTGAATCACCCGGGGTC